ACAGCACTCCCAATTCTTCCTGTGGGGTAGTTTGGGCTGAGAGGGATTGACTGGCCCAAGAGAGTCGATGGTGGACTGTGGACTTAAGCCTCCTAGGCTTCTGCAGTCCTTGTCCAACCCCTTCCCCGCTACACCATGCCAGCTCTCACTTCTGCAAAATGAAACTGTTGTGTGGATATGTTCAATTATCATATTCATATTCATATTTCTCTTTCCATTAGAATCTTTTTCCCCCCTTCAATTTCTACTTAAGCCTAATCTTTCCCTCCTTTATTAGATTCTTCAAAGGGGACCATTTAATAGGTCTTTCACTCTTGATTAATCCTTCACCACCCTATGATAAAGCTTTGCTTTAGAAAGCCAATCTCTCGGTAGGCTCTGCTGCTTTGTCAGGAATCCAGATTTCCCCCGCAGTCCCTTGTGCCTGGCCCTCACGCGGCTTATCTCCTGGGCTTTGCAGTGTCCACTGTAACACCCTCTTTTAAATTGCATTTGAATGTATTTCACTCTAATATCCTGTCATTGATTTTCCTAATTGCTTTTCCAATTTACTATTTGCAAGGCAGGAGGAGAAAGAAGAGGGTATCTCGTGAAGTTTCTGGTACTAGATTCGAGGCCTGTGAACACACTCCTTATCTTGGTTCAGGGGAGTTGGACTCCTCTTGAGGAAGGCCAAAGCTGAATTTCTGATCAGGGTGACTGCTCCAGTGCAGAAATGCCGAGCTGTTCTCTATTCGTAAGTAACCCCAACTGAATTCAGTGGGAATTTAAAGGAGAAGGGCACATAAGTTTTCTATCAGCCTCAAACTCCTCAGTGACCCTCAACTGTTTGTGCCGGTTGCCATTCCTGGGTTACAGTAAAGATCTGGTCCTGTCCTTGTTTGTTCAAGTCTCTGGGGAGCTACGGGCTACTTTGGGCCTGCCCCAGAAATGAACTTAACATTGCATCACCCCCAAAGCTAAGCAAGGTTAGGCTCTCAGGGAAGGCAACCTTGGGGGAGGGGGTTAAAAGGCCACACACCACTTTATTGTGACCTCTTTGGCATCTGCCTGAACCACAGGTATCTCTTTTCCATGCCCCATTCTCACAAAGACCCTCCAGCAAGATTTCACGAGCCAAGAGGGATGGCGTGAGAAGAACTCCAGCCACTGCGCTATTTTCCATCTCAAAATAATGGATCTTCAGGTACAATGGCCGGGACTTCCTTTTATCTTCTTCCTACTGGGAACTGGTGTGGAGGAATTTAAGCAATCTGATTATTAATCAACGTTTTGGCAGAGAGCTCCTGAGAAGAGCAACAGGTTTAAGTATAGCGGCCATTAATTAGCAAGCTTTTAGCATAGCTTTACCTCTGCATTAGCGGCTGGATTTCAGGAGTGTTGCGGCCAAAAACCGGCTCGCTTAAATAAACCAAATCACTCTGAAGATACAACATAAATGTACTAAGCATGCAAAGAACTACAGGGTACCCCGAGCTCCCAGCAAAGCCTTGGCGGCTTGCTGAGCAACCTTGAGCAAAAGCTTCTATTGCTTTCGCCCACAACATTACAAAGAGAAAGGCCGACACAGCGTAGATTACAGCAAAAAGTTGGAATATTTTTGATAAACTCATCTGGGTTACCTTCTTATTATTTATTCCTTCCTATTAGGTCAGCATGCTAGCTATACTACCTTGAGATATGACCACTCAAGGTCAGTTCAGCTTACTGGGTATGTTTTATACATATACATTTGGGGGGGGAGGTCATCTTATAGCAGGGTTTCTCAACCTTAGCAACTTTAAGATGTGCGGACTTCAACTCCCA